CCTGGAGACCTCGAGCTGATGGGGGCAGTTCAGAAAATAAAAGTGCTTCTGGAAACCTGTTGTATTTCCAGACCCCAAAAAGCTGATGCTAGGGGGAAAATTCCAAATTTGCCCCTAAAAAACAGATGGGAAATGGTTCTGACATTTTTCTCTGCTCAGAGTGGTGGATCACCATCCTGGAGCTGCATTGGCATCCCACATCTCCATCCTGAATCCCACATCTGCCTCCTGCACCCCCCATCTGCCTCCTGCACCCCCCATCTGCCTCCTGCACCCCCCATCCATATCTGGCACCCCACGTTGCCATCTCATCCCACATGTGCACCCTGCATTCTTCACCCCACTTCTCATATCCCCAATCTGCACCCTCCAGTGCATCCTGCTTTTGCATCTCACATCTGCATCCTACACCTGTATCCCATGCCCATCCCACAGATCTGCATCCAGCAACTGCATCCTGCATCCCAAATCCTTCACCTGCACCCCGTGTCCTGTACCTGCACCCTTCATCTCATGTCCTGGCCCGTGCATCCCACTTCTTGCATCCTGCATGTGCATCCTGATTCTTGCATGTCACATCCCAAATCCTGCATCTGCATCGTGTCCTGCATCCCACGTCCTCCATCTCCACCCACACCCTGCCTCCCCCTCCTAGACCTGCACCTTGCACCATCCCATGTCCTGAGCCTGCAATCCAAACCTTGCATCTCCATCCTGTATCCCCTTCCCATATCCTGCATCCCCTTCCCGTATCCTGCATCCTGCATTTCCATCCCACCTCCTGCATCCCACATCTCCATCTCACCTCCTGCACCCAACATTTCCATTCCAACCTCCTGCATCCCACATCTTCATCCCACCTCCTGCATCCAGCATCCAGATCCCTGTCCTGCTGTCGGGACCCCGAGGGCACCAACAAACCCTGATGGTCTGACCGGCCTCACCGGGGACCCCCACCCGTCCCAGACCCCTGTGTCCCAGGGCCCAGGGTCCTTACTGGTCCATACTGGACTATACTGGGCTGTGCCCCCTGGAGCTGCACCCTGGCTGTGCCTCATCCCCACCCTCCCCCAGCCACAGCACAAAAGCTTATCTGACACGAAAATCATTTGCGAGGCCAGATTGGTCCCATCCAGTCCCTCCTTCCCGCTCCTCCCTTCTCCCATCCAGGCGTTTTTCCAGAGCAGGTGTGATTTGGGAGAGCAGCATTCCCAACCTGGCCCGGCAGGGGAGGGGGGCAGGGAGGTTTCCCATCCGCGGGGGCTCCGTTCCCCTCCCTGGCACATCTGGCGGGCAGATGTGGCCACACGGCCGGGCTCTGCCTCCCAGATGGGGGACGAGCTGCGAAATCCCTGTATAGGATCGGAAAGCGATAATTTTTCCTTAGAAATCTGCATTTCCCGGCTCGTTGCACGCACTCCCCATCGCCGGGGGTGCCGCAAGATCCCTGAGCACAGCTGGCGCTGCGCCGTGGTGCTCTGGGGGTGGAGCATCCCCTGTCCTGCACCTCCACCCCATATCTGCATCTGCACCCTGAATCCCACTGCTGCATTCCATGTCCTGCATCCACATCCCATCTCCTGTGTCTTACATCCCTCCTCTGCGTCCCAAATCCCATTTCTGCAACCCATGCCCGTACCTGGCACCTTTTCTCTGCATTTCCCCCTCATCCACCCTGTATCCCCACCTCTGCATCCTAAATCCTGCTCCTGTGCCCCATGCTCTGTATCTGCATCCCAAATCCTGCATCTGCCCTTTCATCCCATGTCCTGTGTTTTGCATCCCACGTCTGCATCCCCTCTCCTGCATCCTGCATCCCTGTCACTCATCCTGCATCAGGAAACCTGCATCTACATCCTAAATCCTCCATCCTGCATCTGGGAACCTGTGTCTGCATCCTAAATCCTCTATCTGCTTCCTAAATCCTCTATTTTTTCCCTCCTAAATCCCGTGTCTGCATCCTGAATCCTGCATCCCATATCCTAAATGCATCTGCAGCCTAAATCCTTCTACAGCCCCTCTGTTGTGTCCTGCATCTGGCATCCTGCAGCTGCATCCCAAATTCTGTGTCCCACATCTGCATCCTGAATCCTTCACCCTGTGTCCCACATCTACATCCTAAATCCCCTCTCCCCTCTGTCCTCTATGCCCTAAATCCTATGTCCTACATCTGTATCCTAAATCCTACATCCCCATTTAAATCCCAAATGTTCCATCCTATATGTGCATCCTGGATTCTCCATTCTGTGTCCTGCATCAACATCCTAAACCCTAAGTCCCCCACCTGCATCCCAAATCCTCTATTCCACATCCTGCATTTACATTCCCAATCCTGTCTCCCACATCTGCATCCTAAGCACTCCATCCTGCATCTGCATCTACGTTGTGAATCCTCTATTCTACATCCTACATCCCACATCTGCATCCTTAATCCTGCACCCTAAATCCTGCATCTATATCCCATATCCTATTTGGATTCCCACACTTGCATCCCAAGTTCTTTGTCCCACATCCTGCATCTACATCCTAAATCCTATGTCCCCATCTAGATCCTAAGTCCTTCATGCCCCACCCTCCATCTGTCCTAAATCCTACATCCCACATCTGCATCCTAAATCCTCCATCCTTTATCTATATCTGAAATCCTATGTCCTCATCTGCATCCTAAATGTTCCATCCTGCATCTAAATCCTATGTCCCATATCTGCATCCCAACTTCACCCATCCTGCATCAACATCTGAAATCCTCCATCCTGTATCTACATCCCAAATCCTGCATCCCCTATCAACATCCTAAATCCTCTGTCCTGCATCCCCATCCTAAATCCTGTGTGCCATATCTGCATTTTAAGTTCACCCATCCTGCATTGACATCCTAAATCCTCCATTCTGGACCTACATCCCAAATCCTGCACCCAGCATCCACATCCTAAATCCTCCATCTACATCCCAAATCCTGCATCCAGCACCTACATCCCAAATCCTCCATCCTGCATCTACATCCCAAATCCTCCATCCTGCATCTACATCCCAAATCCTCCATCCTGCATCTACATCCTAAATCCTCCATCCAGCATCTACATCCCAAATCCTCCATCCTACACCTACATCCCAAATCCTCCAT